GGAAGCCGCCAGCGTCATCTGTGCAGGTGCTTGGGCAGCAGAGGCCACCACCTCCCCCGTGGAGCTCATGGCTCTCTGTGCCTGGTTCCCCGTGTCCCCATCCCCTCCTCGCCACGATCTCCATTGTGGTACCCTATGCCCCAAGGTGGGGCCATGTCTGTGCCCCAGCACCTTCCTCCTGAGCAACACATCTCACTTGTGGCTTTTCTTCCTCCACACCCACAGATGCTCTGGCCACCGTGACACCTCCATCAGGTAATGCTCTTCTGTGGCTCTTCTCACCTTTTTTATTTGTGGGCTGTCTCCCTGTTGGGCATTTTTTAATTTGATTTTTCTTTCTATGGCAATATCACTTTAAACTTGCATGATAATTCTTAGACAGGCTGTGATATCCCGTTGCATTTCAGTGATGCTTATTTTGCAGCTATGCTGGTTGGCTGTGGGCAAGCCATTTCCTCGCTTGGGTCTTCAGCTGGGTCAAGGCTTAGGAAGTGCTATCTAAATCTCTAACTTTTAACCACATACATCAGTATTGGCAGGGTGGTGTTCAAGTGTTGCAATGTGCAATTTTTGGCTCTTCTGCTTACTAGAGCTGTTATGGTCTTCAGCCTGCTATTTTTGCCTTAGAAAGCAGATTTTAGATTTAGAACTTGACCATTCACAGTAGAAAATAGTATGAAAGTGAAGGTGCCTGAGAGCCCATCCAGTCTGATTAGAGCAAGGGGCAGTGTCTGGGTACAGCTGATGCTCCCAAGCTTGGGATAGCCCGAGAATCCCAAAATCCTGATGCAGGGAGGAGTGTGTTGTGCTGGGGGGGTGTCTCTGTGCAGGTATATAAAATAGGGGGTTGTTGCCTTTATGTGCCACATCTTGCAAGAATTAAGTTCAGAGCTTGTGTTCACCTTCCTATAAGGAAACTTTTAGGATTATCTGTGTGTTTAACATAAGAATTATACGTCATTCATGCTGGCAGGAACATGAAAGTTTTTTGCAGCTACGCTTATAGCAGAAATGAGATATATTTAAGACTTGGCCCAGCAGCCTGGAGTGTTTATTTCAGTCTGAGACCATAAAATTACAGAGTTTCTTAGAAGACTTGCAACTTATCTATCCTCCGAAGTCCTTAGGGGAATAAAGAGAAGCAGCAGAGTAACCGAGGGGATGCTGTCCGTTCAGGAAGGTACTTCCATTTTGACTATCATGACACCTCCCAGACCCAGACCTCGACTGCAGAAAGGAGACACCAGAGCAGAAAGTGTCAAGGTGTTACCAGCCCAGCCTGAAGAAGGTGGTCTGACACCATGGATGTGACAGGGAATCCCGAATCCAACATGAAAGTAAACCTAAAACAAAACCAAAAACAAATATTTGTTTTGATTTGGGTCAGACAGAAATATCACCTTCAGTCAGCTGGAGACCTGCTTTTCAACAGCTGCGGATGAGACACGTACAGCTGAAGTACCATTTTGTAGAGGTTACTGTAAGTAAATTCTCTTCCATTTATTTCTGCAGCACCTTATTTTTGTGGTGGCTCAATCTCAAATTCCTCTGGGACGCTGCAGAGTCCATTCTACCCTGGAAATTATCCAAACAACGCTGACTGTGTGTGGGAAATACAAGTAGAGAACAATTTTCGTGTTATGCTCACATTTAGAGATATTGCGTAAGTAAAACATTGATTCCCTGGGCAAATAACGAAGTCAAAACTTACCAGAGAAGTTTGAAAACTTATTTGAAACTGGCGACCTTCCCAATTTTAAAGATACTTACAATAACATCCAGCAGTTGGAAGACCAGAACAAAATCTGGATTACTGTAGTATTTTCTGCTTACAATTTTCTGCTACAGCTACATACAAAACGAATAAAACCTCTGCCATGAAAACTTTAAGTGCTGAAAGATTTGATCACGTATTAGGCAGTTAAATCAGAGTTTCTGAAATGCATTTGACAAGGTGCTGACGTTTGTTTGCCAGGATGCAAAGCGGCAGATGCCAGTATGACTACGTTGAAGTCTATGATGGGCCTCCACACTCCTCCCCGTTTCTTGGGAGACTTTGTTCTGGTTCCTTTCCCACGTACATATCCTCTTCAAACATGATGACGGTTCGCTTTCACAGCGATTCTAGATACACCTTCAGAGGGTTTCAGGCTCACTACTCCTCCATTCCAGCAGATCACAACACTAGTAAGTTGCCGGTCGGTGTTTCTCAATGGACAAGCCTGTTTATTGCTGTTGTTTGCAAAATACATATTTGTGTATATTTAAAGATGTTAGGGAAATGAAATGATGCATGTGAAATACGACGGGTTGGTGTGTGAACTGCCTACCTTTTAAATTAAGAAAAAACCAACATTTGGTTCACTTCCAACCTTTAATCATTAAGAAATTCCTGAAGTCACTAATATATTGTATCTTCTTCTTCTACCAGCCCTTCTGTGCTTGCCAGACTACATGCATGCAGTGGTTAGCAGAGACTATCTCCAGTCTCAAGGCTACTCGGCGCAGATGGTCACACTGAACGACGATCGCTGTAAACCAACAGTCACGTCGCACGAGGTGATATTCAACATTCCTTACAACGGCTGTGGGACGGTACGAGAGGTACGCTCACCGTCGTGCGCACTGAAATGCAGAACCCGCTTTGAAAAGAGTCATGAAGGGGCCATTGTGGTCCACAGTCCTAAGAAGTGAACCAACGAGACCCAGAAGTTTTTAGTGCTTTAGCTTTCCATGCCTTAGGGAATCCCCATGCTTAATAGAAATGAGCTTCTAGGGAGGAAAGCATGGGAGGAAGTTATATGAACTTTCCATGATTTAAAGTAGACATAGTCTTGTAAGTGCCGTGCAGGTTTGGGATGACTGTGTACTATACGATTGGTGTTTTGTACAGATGTTCAATGAGTTGGCTCTGCCTTGGATTTAACAAAGAGATTTTCTCCACTGATTTCTGTTTAATTACATACTTCAGTAAGTTTATTTACAATGCGTGAGCAGAAAAGACCACCATCAAGCTTCTTGGTTTAAAGAGTTTAAGATGATTCTACATTTTTAAATTACATATTACTCTATTGTCGTGGTTTAAGCTTAGAACATGGAACGTGACAAAAATGCAATTCCTCATTTTAAATTACATGTTAAACAGGAGAATGATGATACAATCAACTATTCCAACATGATCAAAGTTACATCTTCTGGGTACATAATCAAGCGGAAAAAGAATATTCACTTACATATCAGTTGCAAAATGCTACAGAACACATGGATGCAAATAATGTATGTTGCTGACGATACTGTAGACGTGAATGAAAATCAGTTTGGAAGATATGACATGAACATCACTTTTTATGATTCCTCATCATTCTTGCGGCAAGTGCACGACTCTCCATACTACATTGACTTGAACCAAAATTTGTACCTTCAAGCTTATCTTCACAGCTCTGACCCAAATCTGACCGTGTTTGTGGACACATGTGTGGCATCACCTGATCCTCATGATTTTAACACTCTGGCCTATGATATAATCAAGAATGGGTAAGAGCTTTCTCAAGTCATTAGAAGCATAGTTGTAATACCCTTTCTGCATTTATTTAAAGGAATAGAGCCAATCTGAACTGGTTTAGATCTCATTATCAATAGACTGTTAAAGGTGTCTTTGATTTTTTATTTTTACGGTATGGGCCTGGAAATAAGAAATGACATTTAGACCTTCCTAACATTTCGTTTCACTTACTTCATCCTTGTCCTATATGCAAAATTCAAAGTAGTGAGAGTGAGGTAGATGAAACGAGATAGTGAAAACTGGCAGCAAGAATCTATTGTCCTAGGCATTAAATATTCTAGTAAAACCAGGCCAAGCGCTAGACTGATTTTTTTATGTGTCGTATAGCACAGACTATACTAAGAGTCTGTTCTCCCCTCTTCACCACTTATAGTCTCCTTCTCTTGGAAAAAAAAAAAAGAGTTGCCAATGCTCTAGCTGCTTCATAGGACTTAAATAAGTCTATATTTTAAAAGTCTATTCTATGCTATAAAAGTTGCATTTTTATCCTATTGTGTTCTTAGTACCTGGCTATGATATAATTTTATTTTAATGTATTGTATTTTTGCAGGAATGTACACGTGTGTATCCATGAGGACTAATTCTCTGTTTTGTTTCTTTCTAGATGTGTTAGAGATTCTTCCTATACCACATACTACTCCCCCTACAGCCACTTTGCTCGGTTCAAATTTAATGCCTTTGAGTTCATTAGCCGCCATACGTCAGTCTACCTGCAGTGTGAGCTGGTGGTCTGCAGGCTCGGTGACTATTCCTCCCGCTGCTACCAGGGCTGTATTAGCAGGTCCAAGAGAGATACAAGTTCTGACGATGAAAGAGTGAACGTGGTTGTCGGACCACTTCAGCTTCGAGAAGGGGGTGCTCAGAGTAGGACTACTAGTAAAGTCAAATAAATTTCTCTCGTATTTACTCTAAGACTACTTCGGGCTTCAAGGAAAGCCGTAGCTCTGCGTTTCTGACATCTGTCACTGAAAGCTGCTTTTGCTAACTTCGCCATAAAAAGGAAGGGATTCTTTGGCTGACCCAAATGTCTACAAATCTCTTCTTCTTTCAACACCTTGCAAACCCCCTGTTTTCACCTGCATGTATAAAAAGTATAACTGCTTTGGCTGTCCCAAAGGAGAGGTAGCGTGTAACCCATTTTAGTGCTATAACTCCACTGAACTAATTAGCTCCAGTCTGCTTGTGTAACGTGATGGCCAGCTGGGAGCAAACTCCCAGCCTTCTTGAGAAACATTTAATTCCCTCAGTTGTCTTCTGGTTATGAAGTTTGCTTAGTTATCATACCTGCTAATATAAAGCCTATTCAAATAGTTTAAATCAATGAATCTGTAAGAAATTACCTTATTTCTGACTCTGATCTGGGAACCGTCCCTTTTAATGCAGCAGCTCTTTGTGCCCTGATCTTTAATATACCGAGATCAAACCCACCCTGCCTTCACTGGCGGGGCCGGACTCTTCTGTGCCTCCTCCCCAGGCGGTTCCCGCTGCTGCTGATAATCCCCTCGCGCCGGTCGTTGCTCCTGTCGCCATCCTGGCAGTTGTCGGTTTTGTTCTTGCCGGTTTTCTTGCCAGACCTGCGCTAAAGAAACCGCTTTCACATGGGATAATGTGAGATCAAAGGTCAGCATCATCCACTAAGTGACTAACGAGGCAAACGTCACATGTTATGAGCTGCCAAAATGCTTCACTGGTGACAGTCACATATGTGCCATTTGTAAGAAGCTGTGATATCTTTATCTACAATGAATCCTAGCCTGTTACGATGCTTTAGAATAACTTCATAATCCTAACCTCTTAAATGATTAAGAAATAATTTCAACATTTATGGCACGAGTTGTTTGGTACAATCATTATATCGTTTTTCTCCTCTTCGATTCTCTTCTCACATCCTTCTAAGACCATTTATCTAATGCCTCAAAATTTTGTGAGCGGGAGAGAAAATATGAACGAGGCGTCAATAAATATTTCAAGGTTTATTAAAAGGGAGGAAGATTTCATTTGGGGAGAAGTAATAGGTCATGTCTGGAAAGGAAATGTAAAAATTGATCTTACCATGGCATCTGGAATTGTGGCTATACAATATTCTAATTATTTTGAGTATCTTTTTTAATGCTAAATTTCTCATTGAAACAATAATGCATCTGTGCTTATTTATAAAATGCAGAGATTTCCAAGCTGAAGTAATCTGTTATGTGCTGAGTGTAATTTAAAATCAAAGGAAGGAATGTTTACAAAGCAATAATTCTATTTTGTCTTTCAAATTAATGTTTCTGTGATTAAAATACAAATGAATGTTTTACTGTGTTGAAGAGTGTGGTCTGTTGGATTAAAAATTCGCCAAGCGATGGACTGCTTCTGAAATACTACATAGGGAATCTCTAAATATCTTAATGTAGGCTTCAAAAGGAATAAGCTAATTCTTTTTCTTTCTGCACATGCAAATTTACAGAAAATATCTGGCCCTAGGAAGCCAGATTGCTGACTCTTCATTCAGAAATGCCTTTTCTTTTGGCTTCCATTACTTTCTCCTGGGTGCCACACACAAAAGCAAAACGACCCACATTGTTCAGGGGACTCCTAAGGACCTGTCTATCCACATTTCACCCCACCCCTGTGTTCCCTCCAAAGCAGATGGCCGGTTGAGTCCCTGAGCATCCTCTCCCATCCAAGCAGGTCCTGAATCTGCTGCTGTTCCCACAGCATCACCAAAGGTGAGGACCTCAGGAAAGGTGACAGGAGCTTCTTCTACGTGCCCGTGAGGAATAACTGTCTTCTACAGCCAGTGTGTTTCTCCATGTTATTGGAGAGAAGGCTTTCCCCCCAGTATTTGACTTTCTGCCCATCAGTTGTGTTTTGAAACACTTCTACGTACTGCTGTGAAGAGGTGTGAGGTATCTCTGTTTTGTATGAGTGTTGGGCACACCTCTGTGTGTGTGGCTGCAGCAAGGCATTTTAATGGAGTTAAACTGTAAAGGGTGGGTAAAAAATAAAATAAAATCTAGCAGCAAAGGTAAAACAAATGTCCAAACCTCACAGGGAAGGCCTTGAAAGACTTCTTGATTCCTCACTGATGATAGATGTATTTGCAAAAATAAGCAGCAACAGAGCACAGAAACCGCCATGCCTGAGAGGTCTAGAAAAAGTTCCCCAACCATTTTAGTGTAACTACTACTGCTCTTTTCTCTCCTGTCACTTCTGTTATCTCCTCATGACACACACCTCCTGCTCCTGAGATCCCTACTATAGCCCTGGTCTCCTTCTCGCGCCACATTGTGGCACTTGTCCCCATGAACACCCACACAGCTGCTAAGTCCCTGCTGCTGCCTCCATCCTCCACGCCAGCCACCCCCGTGCCACCTCCTCCTCGGCCACGGGCACCACTGCTCACCCAGGGCATCCAAAAGCATGTTAGCTGGAGCTTCTTCTGCACCCTCAGCACCACCACCTCAGCCCACCACCTTCGCAACAGATGTTTCCCTAACTTGCCTGGGCAATGTCTTCTCATGCTTAATTGCAATTAGCATCAGTGTTGAAAAGGCTTCTCACAATGCCTACCCTCAATTGTCACTGTTGCTGTTCAAGCCCATCAGTTCTTGTCCTGTCCCTCCTGGCCATGGGGAGTCATTTTCTTCCCTTTCTCTTTAGGTGCATTTTACCTATTCGAAGAGAGATGTTTTTTCCATTAAGTTTTCACTTCTCTAGATTAAATAAATCCAAATTCAAAAGATACTGAGCTGTTAAGGTTGTTTTGTTTGCAACATTTAAGGCTGAACCAAACAATCTAAAGGCTTGTCAAATCAACTGGAAGATTTCCCATTGACATACATCCTAAACCAGGCAAAACTGTAAATCTCATCCAAGAGATCGAATCTCAGTCAGGAGACATTTCAGGTCTCATCAAAATGTCATTTAAAAGTTGGAAGACATTTCATGTCTCCTTTCGAGAAGGAGGAGATTTGTTCAATTTTTAATACTTTTGGTTGCTGATAGCAATAAAATTATTTAATTTCTTTTTTTCCCATGGTTGTATGCTTTGTGGTTGTGAGGATTTTGGCTTCTCAGGACTTACCCAGCCTTCCAGAGTGTGTTGTGCGCATTCACAAATCAGGCTGAAATATGCTGGAAATGAAAACAGCCAAATCCCACATAAACATTTACCAATGGTGCATAAAAACATGAAAAGCAAGGTCTGGGATTTTTGCCTTTCATGTCCTAGTTGAAAATACAGAGAATTAAAGCCAAAATGCAAACGAAAATTGTTTATTTGGCCTTTTGTTTCGTTTTCTTGTTTATTCATTTTGTGTGGGATCAGTGTTACGCCAACCACATAGTGAAGGCTGGTGCCTGCAAACACAAGGATGTCAAGAACCAGGAGCGTGTGGAGGCCACTCCTTTACTCTTTTTAAATAAGCTTTCTGGAGGCTGCAGTTGGACTTCTTGTTGTCACGTCCTCCACCCTCAGAGAAGACACACTGACCATCAGTTGGCAGGTTTTTGCTTCAAATAACTGACTGACTTTGGTATTAGATTATTTAATTTCTTCCTAGTATGTCTGTCACTACTCAACCATGTAGTATGTACTTGTTCACTCAGTAGTATGTAGTCATCCGACAATCTCAGCACCAACTGAACACGTTGTTTGCAACATCTAGCTAAAATCCCCTGCAAGTGTCAACCTATATAGTATGAGCTGTGTTGGGAGAGAATAATGACTGAATTACACCACATATGTCCAGACCACGTAGCTGCATAACTCCAATGAAACTGCACATCCCTGAACAACTCCCCTGAAGTGCCACTTGAGAAGGTTTTTTCATGGAAGGAGAATGGACCCATAGCAATTTGGTTTCAAACACACACACCTTTTTTGGTAAAAAAATTGTACAGACTCTATGGTTTCCTGCCATTATGCTGTTCTCAGCGTTATCATGCAATCTATTTGCCCAGCAATGGGGTTAAAGCAAAGCTCAGAAACAAAGTTCTTCTTTGCTTCTTTGTATGCTAAATTTCTTGTGCTTTGGTTTCCTGTTTATCTTTCTATTCTAATTTTGGAGTATGAAGTAGATAATTCAATTCTGTAGTCCTCCTTCCCTGGAACATACTATAAAAATATTTATAATTGGGTATAAATAAACATTGTTTTGCTTCTGGATCCCGTAGCTCGCAAGTAGATTCATTTTCCAGTTGTTAATAACAAATCCCCATGTTTTGTAGATTGAGACTTAAAAAACAGCTGATTTGGGTTTGCGGGATATGGGTGAGAAATACAGTTTTTCTTGTTTTTGTTACTTTCTCCCCATGCCTTGCCATAGAAGCCCACATGTATTCATTGACATCAAGCTGAATCAAGCAGCTAAGCATAACCTTCTGCTCACAGTTCTGATTTAGGTGTCCTTTAATGCCTGGGACTGAACACTTGCACCAAATCTCCAATTAAACAACTAAATGAATATACTGTGGAGATCACTTTCATTTGACTGATAATTTTATCTTTTTTTAGTAACTCCATCAGACTCACTAACCACAGGCAAACTTTTTTGACAGAATTGCACTAGAATCTACCTTGAATGGGAAATCAGGCAGACAGCCACTGCAGCTGGGTTGTCCAGAGGAAACAGCAAAGGCATTTCTGACCCACCACCGCCCTTTGTTTGTCACAAGTTCCAGATAAAAAGAGTTGCAGTCCTTTGATGTCCGGCATCCCTGAACCCAAGCACAATTTTTCGCACAATTTCTGTTCGATGCCTTATGTTACAAGGAGAAGAGATTTTCCTTTTTTTTTTTGTTTTGGTAGTTTGTTTTTATTTTCATGATTTTTTTAAATTTAATTTTTATTTGTTTTGGCAGTTTACATCTAGCTGGGAGAAACTAAGGAAATATTAAAATTCTC